CAGGCCTTGGGTGTCCTCCTGGATGCAGGACAACGCATATGACAATAGGGACCCAGGAAGCCCTGCTAACTGCTTCTACTCAGGCCACATGTGCACTCACAGAGGCCTTGTTCCGTAACTGGCTTTGGAGTAATGAACTGCATAATTGGACAGACGGATGACTAAGGAGTCTGTTCTCTGTGATAAACGTGACTGGCTGCAGAGTCTGCGGCCTTTGGAGGCAACATGGGGCCCCCGGGCAGGAGTGGATTGGCAGGAGTGGTGATGGAAAAGTGAATTCCGCTAAGGGAGCTACAGTGCAGCGAGGAGAGGTAGGCAGCATGTTACTAAGGAACCGTGTTACTGTCAAGACCCCAGGGGACAAGTGTGCTTCACTGAAAGATCCTAGCACTGTGGAGGGAGAGCGGTCCCTCTGCCTGGCTGAGGAAGTTTGCAAACATGAATGGTAATTGGTAAAATGATCTGTGGAATGGGTTGCAGCTGATCAGGGTGATGGTGAGGTTGGGTGAATCTCATTTAGTGAAGGGGATCTGACAGTGTCCGTATTTTGGGTCTGATGAATGGATGGAAACAAATGCTATTTTTCCCTGTGGATTTCACTTTAATTTTGGAGATGAATTTCTCATCCAATTAATCTCTAATATTAAAATAGTAATTTTTTTTCTAGAATTTTTTTTCAAGATAACCACATTCAGGACAATAACCTTTACCTTATAGCTAGAGAGTGGACCTAAGCACTTCCCAAGAGGGAGGGGATGGGTGTTTGGAGTCAGAGAGGATGAGATCCCAGGGACAGCCAAGAATTTATTGGTGGCTCTTAGAAATGTGGTCATTTCTTATTTTCCCTCTCTCTCTCCCTCCCTCCCTCCCTCCCTCCTCCCTCCTTCCTTCCCTCCCTCTCTCCTTCCTTCCTTCTTTAGAATATGCTAAAGTGGATAATTCCTTGTAATGTCCATTTTAAGGCCTTTCGTACATTCCTGGCCAAGTGCCAAGAGTTTTTTTTGGGAGGAAAGGACCCTCATATGCCTATAACTCAAAAAATACCTACGATTCAAACTTCCTGTAGGCCTTTTATTTCAAAAAAACGGGTTCTTTCTAGCTATATATAACACTAGGACTTATTTTGAAATGATTGTAAAACATGATACAATTTGTCCTGATTCGGTCCCCTTGGCCTCTGGTCTTCCCTCCACGGGGCAGACACTTAACAAAAGCGTAATCCAACGTGGTGACTGCATGACTGGTGGGGAGTCCTCAGGCCTGAGGTCAGGGCCTCCGGTGTGAGTCCCTTCTGTCTGAGTGGACTCTGAAGGGGAGGTTGTGTGTGGAAGCGGTCACCTGCTATGACTTGCACATGAGGGGTGAGTCGAGGTCCCTGGCTTGTGAGGACAGTATCTGGATAGGTAGCGGCAGAGGTGTACGTGCCCGATCTGTGCGCGGGCCACCAGCTGGAGCCCAGGGTGCCCGTGCCTGTGGGAGAGAGGGCTGGTGCTGGAGGAGAGAGGAACTAAGGGCCCGGACACACCGGGGAGATCTAAGACAAAGTGGAATGGGCCAAAGGTGGGCTTGTTAAGAACATTGGCTCTGGAGTCAGGCGTAGCCGAGTCTGGGTCCTGCTTCTCCAGGGAACAGCTGTTATGGGGGAGAGAAAGAGTTAAAAGTGGAAAAGGCACAGTAGGCCAAGGGTAAGTCAGAGGGAGTAAGAAATCTGGCTGAGCAGGCGCCACGGTTGGAAAACTGGAACACCCCGAGGACTGTGACCCTGGGTCCCAGGGATGTGGATATTTATTCTAAGGTCTCCAGGAGTAGTTTAGGGGAGGGAGTGGCTAGGGAGATCAGTGGAGCTGTGGGTGATCCTCATGGGTGTGGCGATGTTTTGGTCCATAATGGGGAAGCTTGGCCGCGACTGACCGAGGGCTCAGAAATTGAATCATACTGTAAGGTGTGTGGTGTTTTTCCATTGTGTTTGTCCTGACATTAAAGGTGTATTGCTCTCTGAAACAACATTTTCAAGAATGAGACAAATATTTCTTTAAATTTTTTTTTGTGTGTGTAACGTGAATTGTAATGCATTCTGCTGTCATATATAATGAATTAAAATAAAAAAATGGTTTTGGTGCATGTTAATTATATGGAATGGTGGGGTCCATTGTGGCATGGTTTTGTGTCCATAACACATGATTTTATCAATTTCACTTTGTAATTCGTCCTCCACCCTGCCCTCTTCCCTTCCCCGATGTCTTTCCCCTACCTATTAGTTTCCCTTCTAATTTCATGGAATGACCCCCTCCCTAACTTTTTTCCTTTTAGCTTCCATGTATGAAAAAAAATGATACTTTTTTTTTTCACTGAGTCTGACTTATTTTAGCTCAAAATTATGGTCTGCAGTTCCATCCATTTTCCCTCAAATTACATAATTTTGTTCTTCTTCAGGGCTGAATAAAATCCCAGTGTGTGGATACACCACATCTCCTTTGTCCGTTCATCTGTTGACAGACTTCTAGGCTGATCTATAGCTTGACTCTCGTGAATTGTGCTGCAATAAACCTGGGTATGCATGTATCTCTGAAATGTGCTGACTTTGTTGTATTGGATGGATAAGTGGTATAGCTGGATCATATGTTAGATCTATTTTTAGCTTTTTGAGGCTAGAATGGCAAGCATCAAGCACACAAATAACAAATTCTGGTGAGGATGAAGGGAAAAGGGACTTTGACAGGCTGTTGGTGGGGATCTGAGTTAGTACAGCCCCTGTGGAAACCAGGATGGAGGAACTAGTCTTTTAAATCACAAATATCAGTCGCAGGGGTTATGTGGTTTTATTGCTTTATAACTGTTCTGTATCTGGCCACCTGATACAGGAAGGCTGTAGGGTCCACAATCCCCTGTAGGTGATAAAATAGATAACATTCATGGGAAGAAGAGAGCACTTGGGAGAGAGGGTTCCTGGGGCTGAGGAGAGGGGAAGGGCACGGGGACAGAGTCCTGTTTGCACACTAACTGTGTCTCACAGTATCTAGTATTCACAATCTATCCCTTTGCCCTCTTGACTATTGTCTTTCTGGGTGCTAGCTAGTAAATGGGGCTTTTCCACCCTCCTACTGCTGAAGCCTCTGTCTTAAGCTGCAATACTTTGTCTGAGCTGGGCATCTTCTTTGGGTTAGTTAAATTAATGCCAGGGTCTATTCACCACCAAGGGATGAAAGGACAATGAAAAGAATGGATCATGATGCTTCGCTCTCTGTGTTGCACATATAATTGGGAAAAGTCTCTCTTGGGCCCATTTTGAATGCTGAATTCCCAAGAGAAGAAACTTTGTCTCTCTGATTTCCTGCGGAATCTCTGGTATTCAGAACTGAGTGCACAGCAGATGCTCAATAAAAATGTGTTGAATGAATACATGGATCCAGGGCTTGGGACTTTCTGTCACCCTCACGGGGTTTGGGGGATTAGTTTTTGTCCTCTGCCGGGACCTCCTCTTGGGCTCCATTTTTAAGAGGCTCTTGTTCCTCTCAGCTTCCCAGTATCTCCTTGGTGCGTCAGCAAGGCACTTCCCGGTTGACTCTGCTCTCTTTTCTCTTCAATCAGATCACGCTAATCACAGCGGGAATTCTGCTGTTGTTCCTAGTGGTGGTTTGAGGCGCCTCTGAGCCTCTGAGCATGTTCACCAGCCCCTATCAGGGGTGGGTTCTAATCCTCCGGTTTTGTCCAGCCTGTGGCACAGTCTCCAGTGCGTCCGTGTCACTTGCACCCAGCTTGTGAAACCTTGCAGGCTCTCTCAGGGTGCACAGCTGTCCTCTGGGAGCTGGCCCGCCCATCCGCTCCACGTGGCTCACGTGGTTCCTGTCCCCAGCTGGCTAAGTGCTCTCCAGGGATTTTACACTGAATTTGGATGGAAGGCCAAACCTGTGGCTCCTCCTTCAGCGAACATTTTGCTTATTGGATCCAGTTGGTGCAGGTCTGATGTTCGGTCCCTCTCAGGGTCTCTCTGACTTTTGTTTTGTTTGTGCTCTCCTGGTCTTTTTGATCCCCCAAATTATCAGAATTACTTTACAGTTGGGGGAAATTCTTTCTTAATTATTAGCCAAATAGCATTATCTATAGCTTTTTCCTGCCTGCTCTACTCAATCCCTAACATCAGTTTCTCTTAATATTTGCAATTGAGCTGGGGCGGGAGCTCGGTGCCATTTCACTGGCTTTCTGTCAAAATGAGATGTTGGTCTTGGTTCACACGTAGAAGCATTTTTTTCAACCTCAAGAGAACCTGGATTTTATAATTTAGGCCGAAGTATGCTACTGTATGAGGTTATAACACATCAATGTGTTGGTAGAGTTTCAAAATTAATAAATATTTGCTTAATTAATCAATATTTGCTTCTTTAATTGTATTTATTTATAGTTGCAGCAATAGTTGTTCTCATTTTCTCTTTTCCTTTTTCTGAGAATTCTGATTTTTGTATACCCATCACTCCCAGCTACATCTCTGCCAATTAACCTGATTAATTTAAATAAGTCTCTAAGCGTTCATCTCCCTGGATCTTCATAGAGTTAATTAATTTAACCTTCCTCCCTGAGTCTTGCTCCATCTTTTTCCTTCCTCTATCTTTTTATTCTGCTCTTCATCTGCCTAATGTCTGTGTTCCCACCTCCTGATCCACCGCTTCTTAATTAAAACCCTAGAAATGTCTTATCCAGAAAGGTCCAATATCACAGCCTGCAAATTTGGGTCTTTTTAGATTTCAGAGGAAATGTCAGTCTTTCCTCTCTGAGCTGCAGGGCCTCAGGCTTCAGCCTGCAATCCTTCTCTTCCTCTCATTCCAACCTGACTCTCTGCAGCCCTTCCATGAGTAGAGGAATAAGATCAGTGATTTTCCCCCCGTGCACAGCTAATCATCTGCGCCAGAGCTGGGCTGTGTTGGCTAGGAACTGAGGGTAGGGACAGGTAAAATGACAAGTGACATTGCAATGGTAATAGAAGAAGAACATTTATTTCTGGACAGAATCAAGGACAGCTGCTACCACTCCTCAGCAGGGCTGGGGACTGTGAGACACTGACTTCAGACAGAAAGACCTTCTGGGGAAGTTTGGACCCTGGGCAGGAGCCCCCCGCCCAGCCTGTGGGAGCCAGAGCAGGGTATCTGGGAAAGGTGCGTCAGGACGGGGCTTCCGTGGACTCTGGATTCTTATTTCCTCTGAAATCCCTTGTCTCGTCATCAGGATCCAGGTCAGCAACAGCCCCCAGAGCTGTGGCCACAGCCAGGGCCCCCAGACTGCTGACCACGGCCACCATCACAGGAGTCGGAGCTCTGGCGACGGCATCGGTGGGACCTGTGGTGCCTGTGGTGGCTCAGGAAGCAGCCGCCCTCAGAGCTGGGGCCAGCACACCCTCCTGAGCTCACAGCACAGCCAGAGGCCGCAGGCGGACACTGTGCTGGGCTCTTGGGGGGGCACTTGGGTGAGGGACACTTGGGTGAGGGGCACTTGGGAGGGGGCTGGCACTGCTGCTGGTTCTGCTGGAAGGACATCTCCACGGGAGTCAGCGAGCCTGCATGGACCAAAGACAAGGTCAGTGTAAAGCTCTGGGCCACTCCTCCCCTGGGACCGGCTGTGTAAAGCCCTGGCTCTTCAGGCCCTCTGCCTCCTGGGCTGTGGCTTCAGGAAGGAAAATGGAGAGCCATCTCCATCCTCTGACCTGGAGGACCTCCCGTCCTTCCCCTTGCCCTGCTTCCAGAGGAGAATGCTGGGACGCCCCGAGTCCCACCCCCTCTGTCCTCACAGAAACACCAGCACATGCATTCATTGGCTGGTGACTCCAGAGTCCCTGTGGGCACACGTGGTCTCTCAAGAAGGACCAGAGCGGGGAGGACGCTGAGAGCCAGGACTCTAACTTCCCTCAGAGGTTCTGTGCTCTCTGACCCCTGACCTGTCCCCAGAGGCCCTCCAAGGCCCGCCCTGTTCCTCCACCTCCGCTTCCCTCCTCTGCACTGGAGGCTGTGCTTGTCCCCCGCCCCTCTCCTGGATGAGGATGGCCTCCTGCTGGACACTCACCAGATGCAGCAGAGGCAGGAGCAGGAGGAGGCTGAGCCTGGAGCAGCTGTGGATGGGGAGCCCAGGGCAGCAGCCCTTTAATCCAGTGCAGGGTGGTGAGGCACAGCCTGAGCACGCCGCTGCTTTCACAACCCGGGGAGGTGACAGCTGGGACATGGCCAAGTCCACCCACTCATCCTCTTCCCTTGGACTCACTCACTAGGATGTCTGGCAGGAGGGAGCCAGGGAGTTCTGATGACTGACCACCTTCACTCACTGGGGCCTGCAGGAGGTGGCCATTCGACCCCTTCACACCTTTCATTCAGCTCACGGTTCTCAACACAGACTCCACCCCAGGGACTTTGCTGGAAGAAGCTACAAGGATCAAGATAGCACTTTTCTGACCTTGGTAGCTCACTGTCTGTCAGGAAAGAGAGGTGGACATATGAAGACCTTCACATTTGTCAGTATGATCAAGTGTCAGGTGCAAGATGCTGAAGGGCAACCAGCGCCATGTCTGCAGGCTTGAGGCCCCGTCTTTGGTGTGAGCCTGTCCGACCTCGACGTAACCCCCCACCCTGACACCTCCAGAGGAGCAGTTACTATCCTCTTGAGGGTCTTTGATGAGAGGAATGAGTGTAGAATGGAGAAATAGAGCTCTGTAGGTGGAGCAGGGCCCACCGAGAAGTCTCCTGTCCCCTGAGGATCCCATCGTGGGGTTCCTAGGGAAGCCGGCAGTGGCGCTGACTTGGTGTTTGTCGTGTAGAACAAGTTAATAGAGCCAGCAAATACGTGAAGTTTGTATCTCCTTATGGAAGATGGAGGCTTTTCTGATTGGAGTTTACCAATTATTATTGTGCATTTTCTACATTTTCAAAGAAGAATAGTTTAATAATACCATTGAAGTTATAATTTTTTTCCTATTAAATTGTATTATTTTATTTTCAGACAGATATACTCATGCTTATTTATAACTTGCTCTAGCAGTTTATAAAAGAACATAAGGATCATTTATAAGACATTCTAAATCAACGCTTTTACATCATGTCCTATTCTCCAATGAATATTAAATATAACCATATGATTGACTACTTGTTTTATAGGGGGGCTTAATTCCTTCCATCTTTTTTCTCTCCTTCTATCTACCCCCTCCCTCCGTCCCCCGTTTTCTCCCTTCGTCTCCCTTTCCAAGTCTTCCTTGAACATACAGATGTTGTTAGTCCTTCTTCATAGACGTGGATTAATGGCTTGCTCTGGGTGGGAGGAGATGGTGGCTCAGGGTGGTCAGTGGGGAGGGCTGGGGAGCCCCTCAGCTCCCTTCAGATTCGGGGCTATTTCTCTCACATTTGTGTCCCACCCAATGGATGCTGTTCAGGAGAAGGTGCTCCTGAGGAGGGACAGTGGGAGCCTTTCTGCCCCCTACGAGGTAAGGCTGAAGACAGGTGCAGAATGAAGGAAGACACGGCCCCCATCCACGGGCTTTGCCACCGGTGCCAGGGAGGACGCCACACTGTGGTGATGGCACAGCTTAATGCACTAGTCACGTCCAGGGAAGTCAGCGTCACATGTAAGACCCACCCGGCCTCTGGTCTAAGATCCTGGTAGGAGAAGCCACTCTCGGCCTGACTTCCTCAGGCTTAGCATTGGGCCCAAGGCCTTGTTGTGGACCGAAAGCTCGTCTCTCCCCAAAATTCATGTGTGAAATCTTGATCCCCAATATTAGGAGGTTGGGACTTTGGGAAGCGACTGAGCCATCAGAGTGAGTCCTTCGTATAAGGAGATTAGCGCCCTCAAAAAAGAGACCCCAGAGATCTTTCTAGTCTTCTTTCTGCCGTATAAGAATACAAAACTAAGTTATCAGGAATAGGGCCTAGGAGTGGGTCCTCACTAGAAACTGACTAGGTTAGCACCTGATCTCAAGGCTTCCAGCCTCCAGAAATGTAAGAAACTTTTTGTTGTTTTCATGCTGCCTAGTTTATGGTATTTTGTCATAGCAACCTGAACAATCTAAGCAAGTGCCAGGTTTCCAGCTGTCACCCTTACCCTTCCTCCTGGAACTTCCTCTCATTTAAGCCATTCACCTCTGCATGTCTGAATTCAGAAAGGTTTTGTGGAGCCTGAACCATGGCCAGGCACCGTGGACAGAACTGGGAATACCCAGGGCACAAGGGAGAGTTTACGGCCTACCCCAGAGGTCAAGAGAGGAAGGACACCATTTCCAGGGTGGCGCTCCCATTTCTGTGAACCTTGCCTAGACAAGTCTGGGGCTTGGGACGCCCTGAAGAAGTGGGTTTTTATTTTACATGTATCACGACTCTCTAGAAGTAAGGACGGGGGCATTTTTGATTAAACAGATGAAGTTTTGAGTCATTCATGGACAGTGCTTGAAAAATACCTGACCCCAGTTTGTCAAGTTCCAAGTCAGAGTGTTCAGAAGCGAGCAGTGAGGAAGGGGTCCTCTCTGTCCTTCAGGAAACGCAGGTCTCCTCTGCTCCCCATCTGCCTGCCTCTCATGTGCCTCACACTCTCGTCTCTCCTCTCTAATCCTGGAGAAGGAGCTCCTTCCCTGAACATGGAGGGAGTACCAGAGCAACGCTGCAGGGTCACCCTGCCTGAGCGTCATCTCTAGGAGAATAGGTATCCCACCATCCTGGGGTGGCGGAGGACACATGGCGGCCCGTCTGGACTCACGATCTTAGCAGGACTTCTTGACTCATCAGTGAACTGGTAGTATGCAGATAGGCGTGTGGCTTTTCAGGCTAACTTCCTTGGGTGCAGTTTGATTCAGTGACATAACTTATATGTCAGTGATGAATCTTCCTTTCCAACTGATCAGCGTGGATGGTCAAGTCAAGACTTTCTTGTCACCCAACAAGGTTGACTTGGTGACACCCAACTGAATCATAGGTAAGATGGGAGGCGAGAGATGGACAATACTACCTTTTTTGGGGGATTGAGATATAATTACATACCATAAACCCCATCTTTTAAAAGTGTACAATTTAGTCATTTTTAATAGATTCTAAACACCATCAGCACTAATTCAGACACTTCCATGACTCTTGGAGCGGAAGGCTGTACCCTCAGCCGTCACTCTCTGCTCCCCATGTCTCCCTGGCAAACACTAATCTGATTTTTGCCTTCCTGGACTTGCTTATTTTGTGCACTTTATATAAATGGAATGACACAATATATAGTCTTCTGTTTTGGTTTCTTTCACTTGGCATATTTTTTCAAGGTTGATGCATGCTGTGGTATGTATCCATATTTCATTCCTTCTCATGGCTGAATAATGAACATTTGGAATAAAGATATAAGGAGTGCTGATAGAGTACAGAGATCAATATAAAATATAGGATAAATGTATTTTGCATTTGTCTCCATGTGATTTAAAAGACAACTGCATGAAGCAATACTTACAAAGTTGTGCTTATGGTCTTCCAATGAAGAATGATGTGGACGGTATGACCCTAACAATCCTCAGAGGAAGAGGGAATTAAGTTACATAATAGTCCAATTTGGGGATATTATGAAGAGTGTAGCTATGAACTTAATCTTTATTGTTTCCTCCCTTTTCTTGGGTTTAATTTTCTCTTCTTTTTCCAGTCTTAAGGTAAGAGTTTAGGTTATTGATTTGAGATTTTTTTTCTTGCTTAATATGGGACCTTACAGCTGTGAGTGCTCTGAGCACTTCTTTGGTTGTATCCCATAAGCCTTGACATATTGTGTTTTCATTTTCATTCACCTCAAAGTATCCTTAAAATTCCTCTGTGAAGGAGACAGTGGACCCACCAGATAGAGGAGAAGGTAGGGAGTGGGTGACAGACTGACCGTGCGTCTTTCCCACACCGTCCTTTCGGAGATGGTTGGGCTATTCTGGACCAGGGGTGGGGGGCAGGAATCGAGTAAATCTAGGTGGATATACTTCTAGACATTAGGGGAGAATCACTGAATATCTGAAAGTGGTTAGAAAGTTCTGGAATATACTCGAGATATCATCAAAGGAGTGTTTGTGTAGCACAGGAGAACACAGAGAGGGGGGCAAAAGAAATTGTACCCACCGAGTTCTGACTGCCTGATACACTTGTTAAAAGGCTCTTAGAAGATTTTTGTAGCCCGGATCTTTCTTGGTTCCTCTCCCTTCCCACTCTCAGTCAGTAAATAAATCATTTATTTACTTATAATACCTTTCATGAGTTGTGTGACATTTCCCAAACTGCTTTTAGGAAAACATTCCTTCTTGGCATTAATGACTGCTTCGTAAACTCAGGCCTTTGTGGTAAAGGAGGTGAAAGGCTTCCGATGTCAACGCTAGCAAACATTGTGTCTGGAAAACTCCACAGGACCGTCACAGCCCTCTCTGGAGGCCATAGGGGGACCTGTCAGCTAAGCTCTTTCCTGTGTTCACTTTTTAGCAGGGCTCAACCCTCAGGGTAGGGGCAGCCAGAGGGAGCTGAAGAAATCTAGCTACTTCAGAAAGTCATAGCCAGGTACAAAG